CGATCATCTTTAGCTTCAACAGTAGCAATTTATTGTTAAGTACTAAATCTATGTAAATATTTTGTTGGGTCACAAGAAAATTTCCGATTTGGCATCCAAACTTCTAATAGTTTACTTCAAATTTATTAACTGCTACCTAACATACTTTAGGCTTTACATGACAGTCGCAGTGTACACAGTGGATTGAAGAATAAGTTTATTAACCCCCACTATAGGAGGGATTTACAGTGCGTTTACCTCATATAATGTTATGGGAGTTTAAGCAATGGAATAACAGAGTCATGTGCAGTGTTTATGGTCAAGGTGTCCCAATTAGTCGGCAAATCAGAAATTGTCTATAGTTCTGAGATGAGGTATTGTAACTTTACATTATTCGAACTATTGTCATCCTTATTGACATATTCCAACGTTTCGGCTGTTGTATGTTTCTGCCTTCTTCAGGTGATATTTCTTGAGATTCCGGACCGAACCTTTTATTTAGTCGACAGAGGTTGATTGTTCTAATCCCACGTGCCATGCCCTTTTTTTGGATATCTCAGTTTCAGTTAATTCCCTTTAGTAGCTCAACTCACCAAGTTTCTGTTCCCTCTGCTGTGGCCAGGTAGTGAACTCACAACTCTTTATGTCAAGTCATTTTTAGATCAAATGAAACAACGCTTTTATCCACTGGGCCATAAACAAAGGGTTCGGGGTTAGAGTTAGTGCCAAGAAAAATCATCTGAAGAAGGCAGGAGCGTCGAACGGCCGGAACATCGTGAATATGGCAATAAAGATAAGTACAACAGTTCGAATAATGTAAATAGTGTAAATAAATAAAAAAATTGGTTTGCAAAGTTTTGTTCTGGATAAAGATCGGTCATCGGACTTTGGTAATAAAATTCTAAAGTCATTGGTGGAAAGCAACCAATGGCAAAGTACTCAGAAATTAACAAAGATGTGAAAACACTTCGCAATCTACCAAATGCCGACATTTTGGAAGTCGGCAAGATGGGTGTTTGGGCCCTATACGTTTTGGCAAGAAAAATAAAGGACCGTTTATCCATAGCGACAAGTTTTTCTTTACCGAGACATAACCAGTTTTTAAAATATTCCTTTAAAACACGTGATTAAAAATTGGTTTATTGCAAAAGCCAGTGGATTGACAAATATAAATCTCCACAACCAACTCCAAGAACTGATCTCAAAAAAAAAAAAAAAAAAAAAAAAAAAAGAGGATTATTCATGTAATGTTCTGAAATCGTAATGAAATACTAAATGTAAATTTATAAGTTCGGTAACTACAACGTGTCCATATTTTTCTTTAAATAGCGCCATGAGAGCGCCAATAGGGAAAATGTTGCTCTTCATGACAGCGCATAGAGCAAAAAACAAAACCCCACACAAACACAGGAAAATAGTTTGAGAGTAGGTTGGTCTGTTCTACCCTATATGCCATATTCACTTTGTCTTGTAACAGCCGATTAACTTTCAATCACTGCAAAATACCGATTGGAAAAACTTTCCCTAATGAAAACCAGATTCAAAATTTCATTGAGAAACTTTCGCATCAATATCTGAGGAATTTTATTCTAAATGTATCGAAAAACTCAGAAATGGCAACAAGTCATTTCACATAATGACGAATATATAATTGAATAAAATGTAGTTATACTTTAAAGAATAAATTTGCGGAACAGAACTTATTTATGGCTCAGCACAGTAAATAAAGGCAATCTAAAAAAAAAAAAAAAAAGTTACCTTTTAAGGTAGTTTTATACTTTCCCTGGATAAAAAAATGCTTATGTCGAACGTGAGCTTATTTCGATACCAGTGGAAAAATTAAAGTTTTGAAAATATCAAGTTTCTCTAACATTCATAATTTTGTAAAATTTTTACGCGATGACGTCATTATTAATGCATATAGTCTGTGTTAATTAAGCGAGAACATCTTCCATATTGCAGTGATGAAAGAGTTGATCACAAACCATTAATTTAATTATCTAGATAAACGAGAATATAGTCAATTATTTATCATCTAAAACATTTCACAAGGACTGACTTCGAGGTGAGTTTTCTGGTCTAACTAGTTGTTAAATAAAGCTATCTTTATCATGAGGTCAGTTCTGTTAACAGTTCGCAAAACTCACTTTGAGCTCCGTATTATTATAGCCACATTACTGGTCATTGTTCAAAAATTTGATTCACACCGACCGTCCTATAAATGAAGCCAGCTTCTTAATTTGCTCGAATCAAATATTAGAGAATTTAGAGAAAAGACAATTTTTTTTAAGAGGACGTTATTTTTGATCATGTGAACTTAATTTTGACTGCATATTTCTAAGAGGAGAGGTTCTTTAGTTCGGGATTTCTTTTTCAAAATCATTTCGAAAATCTGAGAATCAATTGTGACATTTAAACAAGACTTCATAATTAAAAACGAAAGAAAAATATGAATTATTCAATAGATAATTGTATAACAAGAGTATTTTTGAATATACTTCTATTTTGCCAAAGAAATGCATAAAGAATAATGAGGATAATTTTAATGAAAACAGGAAAGAAAAAGATCACTATTTTTGCCTGGAATACAAACATTTTGCTATTTTTTTTTTAACCCTTGTTCGGAAAAAAGTTATTGTACAGGTTTCAGTTTGTTTTATTCATTATACAAAAGATCGTTGTTTATGAAGGTTAATCATTATGGATAAATTTATTTGAACTTGTTTGAATCAATAGATGTTAATATACTTGTTATAGATAATGTTTCGGCAATGTACTTTATGACCATCTTCAAATATAGAAATAGGCTGATAGTTGATATGTCTGTGATACAACCAGAGTTATATAGATTCCCTACCTGATCCTCGTACTTGCTAAACCAGAATAAGAAACTGTATCACAGACAAAAAGTTAGGTATCCCTGATAAGCCAAAATAGATATCTGAAGATAGTCAGAAGGTACATGACTGAAACGTGTCTATAACAAGATCAATAGTTCGAGTAAAGCAGTGTACCTAAAAATTTCATTTTAACCATATGTTTTTGTTAAACAAGACTAACGTAGAAAGGCATTTTTTGTATAAAAAAAGGTAGATTTTTAGAGGGAGTTTGAAAAATCTTGTTAACCACAACACTACTACATCTTACCTAACAACATATTTCTGAGTGCCCAGTTCATAGAGAGCATACTACGAAATCTTCTCACGAGAAAATTATACAGAAAAATATACTATCATCGCTATCTCGAATAATCACTTGTTACGTACATTTAGTTTTAAAAGTTTATCCGTATCCAAATACACTTCATATTTAATATGCTATACTTGTAAGAGTTCCAGGCTAGATATTTATAGGGCATGATTTACTTGACAGTATTTCTGTCTCCCCACAAAGAATGGGGTTATATGGTACGAGCAGCCGTCCTACTCTACGTATAGGAAATAACGTTGGATTGCAACTTGTCTTTAGTTAAGACCACATTCTAGTCAAGAGACTGAATCCAATCCAGACAAGGACTCACGTTGGATTTAAAATCCAAAATACTGAACCCGAATAGAGAACGATATTATGAGGAGAAATTATTTTATATCATAACATACAAATATCATAGATTTGGTTATCGATGCAGGCACCAAGATCTTTTTTGTCTTTAAACATATTTCTAAAAGTTACTCTCACAACTTGGGTCTAACGTAAGTGACGATCTCAAAATATTTTTATTAAAAGAATTCTAAAAGCACTGCTGGTCTGGCCAATCAGAAATCTTAGCAAAAAGTATATTCCAACATCAGTTTTTCGCTTATAGATCAGCTTTATCCTCCTAGAAAAGGCAACAATGGGAATAGAAAATCTTCGCTAGACCCAGTTTGCACTTACCAATCTCTGGCTAAATTCTACCGCACAAACACGTGGTGTTATATATATATATTATATATGTGTGTGTGTGCATAAGGTAATTATTCCGAGTCTGCAGCCTTTTGCACATTAGATCCGACACCAATTGGATTCGGCATTGAGTAACGTGTATTGTACTTTAAGGTGATATTGTTTTAAGCCAAAGTTTAAGGTCTAAAACAGTTTAATCGCTGTTATGAAGCTTACCTTCAGAGCATCTAAGACAAAAAGGACAAAATTATCATTTGAATTAAAAAGAAAGAAATGTAAAAAACTGAGCATAGATGTTAGCATTTTTATTCAGTATATGTTTAGTGACTGGTTTCAGGCACCACATTTTGTCTTCAGTTTGCCTTAGAGCGTATTTTCTATTGGACTAAAATAGAAAAAAAAAAAGGTTTTTACGCAAATGTTTATATTCTTAAAAGATAATTGTGTCAGAGAATGTTTTAGGGATGTTTCGTTATTATATGCTTTATTATTCCAATCAGCACGCTCATCTTGGTTGTAAACAATTATGCTCAAATCTTCTTATTCACCTTTGTGTCACTTTTCAGTTTCTTCCACTGAAATAGAACATGCTTTTTCAGCACTACAAGACAAAGGTGATTGAACTCACAGCTTGAATAGATTTTAACCAATGCTTTAATTAACTAAGCCATGAGAGAGCCTGGGTCTTGTAATGGCAAATAAGATTCGAGCATAAATTGATATAAACTATCTTCTAAGCATTTAAAGCAGAAGGATCTCTCTTCGTTGATTGAAGTTTTCGGTTCAAAATTCCGATAAGGTTACCAAGTACGATGACGGATAACAGCAGAAGGCCGTAGGATACAACGACCAAAAGGTTGTGAGTCTAACGAATAAGATGAGCACGCTAGTTCGAATGATAAAACAGATAAATAAAAGATAAATCAGAAGTATAAATAAATGGAGATGGGGAAAGACAAAGAATTGGTTATTGCCGAAACTCACCTGTGTTTGTGATCAGGAAGGATGAAGACGCTGATTCCATAGTGGTAGCCATCAAGGCTCCCTCCCAGATAAATCCACAATATGACAAGTTTCTGAAAGGTGCCAAATTGACCAATATGATTAAGTAGAGTGTCAAACTGCATCTTTCGAATTCAGTTGTCAAAACTGTAAAAAGAAAAAGTGAAATATTTATTCGTTATGTGGTAATGAAGGAATATACAGAGTGTCCATAAAGTCTTTAGACAATTTCAAGAAATCATTGCAAAAAACAGGTGCCAAGTAAATATTTGTTGCATATTAATGTTATTATTAAACTTTAATAAAAATTAATACTTTTAATGTTTTTATGCTTCCGACTGAAACGACTGAGGACATTGTATAATTAAAAGCATCAGTACTTAAAAAAAAAAAAAAAAAAAAAAAATGTCCGACAGTAATAATATCAAAATCTAGCTTACGGCCACATCACGTTGAAACCTGTTCCCGTACGATCACAAAAGTTATGCAGTGTCGAGCCTGGTCAGTACCTACAATGAGTGATTGCTTGGGAATATCAGGTGCTGTAAGCTTAGATGAGTGCGTTGTCTAATGAACAATGGTTCGAAATTGTTAATCGGAGAGCAGAGTTCCAATTCCCATTGGGTTAATTATGTTCACTTAGGGGGCAAATACCCGTGGGAAATGGTATGAATCCACCTCTTCTCCCCTGCCAGCTATGGCTTAATTAATAAATCTTGTATCACTAAATTATTATCTTAAAAAATTAATCTAAAAATATTTTCTGGCTTTAAATAACGTTGATAAACCATAGAAAAACAATCAATCTAACATCTACCCACCACCACATTTAGAGTCAATAGAAAAGTTATTTGGAAAGGCAAGTCCTTATTGCTAAGTGTTAGACTTTAATTATATAGACAGTTTATTGCTAAGAGAACACGTATACGCTAGTATTCTATGCCTTGCAGAGGAAGCAACTTTACTAAAGATTCCGATTACTGGAAAAAATTCAATTTTGGGTCATTTATTCATTTATCTACCGCTTCAGAGTGGACTTTACAGTCAAATTAATGTCAGCCTCTTATCACGTTTCGGCTGTTATGCCCCCACCCGGTCTTGATTTGTTTGTCACTCAGAATAAACCAAATTCTGACTGAACTCTTCATTTAACCTATGCGGGTTATATTGTTCTCGTTCAGCGACATTTTTTTGACGCTAAGAATTTCTATCCAGTTTGGCATTTAGATGCATTACCAACATATTTTAAGTAAAGTTAAATAAAGGGTTTAACGAAGCAGGAGACTCACTCCATATGGCCTTGGGTTGACATGCCTCACTAACAACGAGGTATCACTCACCTGGCTGATAATGCGAAAGGCCGTCTGCATCGGCAAAAACTTTCTTCAGCAGCCTTGGGAAATTCTCCCAACTGCGTCCACTGTGGTGAGTCAGTGGAGACCCTGGGCCACGCCTTTTTCCACTGCAAGGCCCTAGTTCCGTTGTGAAAGTTTATTGAAGACATCATGGTCCGCAGGCTGTGCGGTAAGTTCTTCGTCCTTGAGACCAGTTATGTTTATTGCAATGTGTTAACAACGTTGACTATGTGTTTTGCTTACTAGGTATTATACAAGTCGTGATATGGACGATGCGACAGAAGGAATTTTGATTTTGTTCTTTTGGCATCAGATTAAAGTCAAGATCAGGACAGAAAGACAACGACTCCCTTCATCAGAATTTGGTAAAAGGTGAGCGAGTCTCGCGCATCTGTGTCGAGTAAAAGGAGCCGACTTAGAGTGGTATTTTGTTGCTAGTTAGGAATCAGGATATTGGGAGCCCTGTAATAAACACTGGCAAGCCCGCCCAAAATTGGTGAGTTTAGGGTCGTTTTTTTTTTTTTATAGTTTTCTTTACGCCAAGTTAAATTAGCTAGGGGATGTATACGCATTGGTCCTTTTTACTTTTGTCCCCACTTTTTTTTAGTTTAATTCCCCACCCTCTCCGCCGTTAAGTGACCTGGAATGTTAGTTCTCTGGCAGATGTGGCACAGTTTTCGTTTTTCGAGCGTGTTCTTTCGTATTTGTCGTAGTGTCTGAATGAGTGTGTAGTTTGTGTGGTTGGTTGAATGTTTTTTTGTTTTTTTTTAATTCATACAAATCCCGCATTAATTTCGTCCATTTAACTGATATTTCTGCCACAATTTAGGATTGTGTGTTTTTTTTTTATTATTAACACCATTTTGTTTAGTTTCTTGTATATGTATATATATATATATATATATATATATATATATATATATATATATATAGTATTAGGCATATTGTAGATATTCATGCTTTTATTTTTATTTTCGATGTTATTCTTTTCCAACTACTGAAAATTCTACATATGGGGATTAGTTAGGATAGGTACCTCCACGAGATCGCTAAAAAAAAAAAAAAAAAAAAAAAAAGCATGATGATGAAAAAGACGCCAAACTTGACGAAAACAAAATTTTATCGTCTAAATGTTTGTTATTATTAAGAGGAAAGGTCAAAGTATTTTTGGGGTATTTTTTCCATTTTTAATCGTTCCTAGCAAGTCCGAAATTTTCGTTAAAAATCTAGTTTTTTTTTTTTTCAGCAAATTGAACATTTTTTTTTTTTCCATTTAAAAAAAAAATGGAAATCTGACTTTGAAATTTTTTTAAATATCAATTATCATTTTTTCAAAACTTATTTTAAGAAAATCAGAAATTATAATGTTTATTTAAAATATTTTGAACCAAACTTAACTTAGCTTTTGTGCCAAAAAGATGTAATTTGAAAATAAAAAACAAAGCAGGTCAAACTTTCGCGTCTCTTGACATGTGATGAATGATATATTTACGAATTCCATGAGGCTAATTTGTTCTACGGAAGGAAAAAAAGTGAAATAATTTTTACATTTACGTGAACAAATTATTTACCCCGTTATTTTTAACGAAAACTTTCAGCGGTCTAATTTTTTTTTTTGTACTTAGCTTTCACCTTTACGTTTATGATGCTTTATAGGAAATATATTGTAAAGAAATTAAAATAAAACTGTTAAGAGTGACATTAAATTTCATATTTCTTAAGAAAGGTATCTAATTAATTTATAGGTACCTTTCTTATGAAATTTTATCATAATTGTACATAAAATACTATAATTTTATGTACATTTATTACATTCTACTGTTATTTGTATTTGCATTCATTTTATTATTAATTTTGATATTTCATTTATGGAAAAATGAAACTGAGATTAATATAAAAATAAGATCATATAAATTTCATAAGATGATACTGATACTTGTAGGTACCCTTCTCAGTTGAAATTGAAAAATCAAATTAACTTCTCCACACGTGTTTCGCAAAAGTAAAGGCCTTAACAGCGGAGAACAATGCTTAACTCAAATAACGCAACTTAATTATATTCTGGTTGGTCTTCCGTATTTTATAATTACAGCTCGATTATAAGCACAAAATTACATTTCTTAATTACTGGGTATCTTCTGATTAGTCAAAATGATACAATTTACAACGCGCTAAAAAAAGATCTATCTCATAAGGACACTTATGAAAGCCGATGCGGCTTTTAACTAATTTTATAATATTTTAACAACTTAAATGTAAAATCTATTATAATTAATGAAATAACAAATAATTGTATTAAAAATTCATTTTTCATCAAAAAATTTTTTTGCTTTTACAAAATATTGTCCATATTCATAAAAACAACTAAAAGCAAATAAAAGCATTTGAAATTAAATAATATTTGTTTTATTGAGTTTTGTATGTTACAATTCAGAGCTGATTTTCAGGTACTGCGTATCCAATTAAAAACACAAAAAAAAAAACATGATTTGCATTCCTCAAAGCCCTGTGCTTTTAATTATTGTAATCACTAAAACCGATGCGATCAAATTTCTAGCGTTTTCATAAAATTAGTTATGGGGGGTAATAAATATTTTTAAAAAAATATTTCTACCATGACTTTCATAAAAAAAAAATTTTATAATAATTTCGATCATCTGTGAATAGTTTCTGAAAGTTTCATTAACATCGAATAATTATTTCTATTTTTGCAAGATTTTTTCAAATTAATGTGTGTCATACCAAAAAAAACGTGCTAAAAATTGTCTATGTTATTTACTAGTTCCGCTGATACAAATAGAAAAAAGGTTTTTTTTTTTAATCAAAATTTAGAATGTTCTAAAAAGAAGGAAAATTTTTTAAAAATAATTAAAAAAAAACTTTGGTCTTTCCTCTTAATAATAACATAAGCATTTAGACAATAAAATTTAGTTTTCGGCAAGTTTGGCGTCTTTTTCATCAAGCTATGCTCTTTTTTTAGCGATTTCGTGGAGGTACCTAAGTTAGGACTTCATAGAGATTTTGAGGTATTATGGTGGTTGTCGTAAGAATGGTAAGTAAGAATGTGGAATTTTGGTGAAAGGAATATTACATAGTTTGGGTCAGTGATTGTGGCTCTGACAGATGTTGACCAGCCTTTCCCATCCCCACTTTTGGCCTTGTGCCACATTTTGCATTTTACACAAATAAATACCTTTAGATATACCTTCAGGGTAGCAAACTTTTCACACCACCACGTTGCGCCACACACACTATGGCTAAGTATATAAATAAATTTTTAAATCTGTAGATAATTTTTTTGAGAGCCACGTTTTTCTTTATATGTAAAATTCCTCAACATTATTGAAAACAATGAATTAATTTATTATGAAATTTCCCCACTTCAGTCGTAAAAAGAAGTAACTCCAGCCGTTGAAAATGGATGACCAGCAGCAACCTCGCCCATTGAAATCCTTGCAGTACATCTTCATTTCAGTTAAAAATTACTTTTTCGGAGTTATAATTTCAACAGCCGATGATCACCGACATGAGACCGTTCACATCTTTATGTAGATAAAGGTATAATGGACTGCTTATTTTGGTGGTAGACCCAATCTGGTCTCTTACAAATTTGTTCGTTACTACAGCACTTCGAAATTTGATGCATCATAAAAACTTAAAATATTTATTTAGATACTCGCTGAAGAGAGTTGGTTTCAAAGTTAGTTTATATAGTATCGCTCGCGCGCGCGTGTGTGTGTCTCCGTCATGTTACCTATATCACCTCCAAGTTACATGTAATCTTACTATTTTTAAGTCTGTTAGTTATTCAGTTAGTATGAAAAGTGATACGTACTCTAAATAAAAACCTAGTGCTAAGTTTAAAAATCTAATATACTTTCAATAATCAGTGTTTATTTATGGACATACTACCCCCTCCAAACAAAACTACAAAAATGTAGAAGTTAAATCAAATAGTAATAGGAAGTCTTTCGTGAAACTGAAAAGTGAGAAATATTTTCTACAGTATCAAACATTAATTTGTAAAGGGTCACTAATTAAAATTTAATTAAGTTGTATTACTTTTTAGTCCTTCAATGAAGAAATGTCGAATAGAATTTACACGCTTCCAGTTTTTTCTCTAGATTTTGTCAATTCAAAAATGGTTTCCTTGAGTTGATAATTAACAGACTCATGTCACGCCTGAGGAAGAAA